AAGACAGGTTTGCTTGTTCTTTTGAAGTCCATGGTACTGTCAATAGTCTTCGTCAGCACCATCATCCGAAAGCATCGATTCTTCTTTGGTCTTCCGTATTCTAGGTCCAATTTTCACATGCACATGAAGCAAATGAAAATACCATGGCTTGGGTCAGGTATACTTTAGTCCTCAAAGTAACATTCTTGCTTTTTAACACTTCAAAGCTACTCTATGAATGTGGAATTTAAGCTATTCTTGCAGGGCTCCTTAACAGTCAAATAATCGATTTGGTTATAGAACAAACGGAAAAAGCCATGAGCAGTTATTCCCTTAAACCAGTGGTTCTCAACTGTCCTCAGCCACAACTCTTTAATACAGTTCCTCATGTTGTGGTGACCTTCCAACCATAAAATTATTTTCGTTGCTACTACATCACTGTCATTTTGCTATTGTTATGAATCGGCCGACCCCTGTGAAACGGTCATTCGACCCCCAAAGGGGTTATGACCCACAGGTTGAGAACCGCTGCCTTAAACAATGAACGATGGGCCGGCCCTGGGTGTCAAAGATCCCAGACAGCTCCAACTGGCCCTTAAATGTTTCACAAATTTGCTTCTCTGAGAAAGGGAAGAGGAGCCCTGGTGGTGCAGTGGGTATGTGTTGGGCTGCTATCTGCAAGGTCGGCAGTGGGAAACCACCAGTGTCTCCAAGGGAGAGAGATGGGGTTTTCTACTCCGGTAAAGGGACAATAGTCTCAGAAACTCACAGGGCAGTTTCTAGTGTTGCTATGAGTCGGTATTGCCTTGATGGCAGTCTGTTTGTTTTTGAAAGGAAGGAAGGCGATCATTCATCACAGTCACCAGTCACCGGTAAGCAGCACAGGTGCAGTTTCTAAATCATTGAAAGGCGAACCTTTCCTTGTGGTTGTGCTAACTTGGGCACCATGCTCAAATGGATTCAGTGCAGAGCAATCCTTCAATAGGGTGTCTGAGGCACCAACTCTTTACCAGAGCAGAGAGCCTCATCTTCCTTCATCAAAGACTGGTGGGTTTGAACTGTTGACCTATGGCTAGCAATCCACTCCGATCCAATCTGAGCCTGCTCTCCTACCAGGACCCTTTGTCTTACACTGAAAAGGGGTACACAAGGTGCTATGCCTTTGTTCTGACCTACCTACAAATTTGATTAAGGACACTTAGGGACAGCTCTCATAAGCTCAGTCCACATTTACCCAATAGCCAGGATGAGCAGGCAAGGCGGGCAAGGACAGCCAGAGTGAGGAAAACAGAGCACGCGGAACGGAAAGCATGAGAATGCTGTTGGTTGGAGTACAATACAAGCACTCTTTCTCTAAAGAGGGTTAATCTGGTAACCATGCCTTTGATGAACAAACTGCTGGCAACAATCTCAAATCTTATCAATTTAACAGAAACCCTGAGATCGGGCATTAGGAAGCTTACCAGCAAAAACCACCCCATCATTTAAGAAAAGTAAAGGCAAATGTGATAGTTTTTTGTGTGTCTGCCAACATGGCACCTGTCAGAAGACATGGGTGTCACTCTGGTGGCAGCCTGATGACTTTCCGTGGAGGCGTGATTGAGACACATAGCTCTCTGGAGGCCGGCCTCTTTCCCTGCCTTCATCTTCCTGCTTGCTGGCCACCTGACAGCTGTGGGAGCTCGGCGACGTTTTCACTGCCATTGGATCCACATGACTTTGCACCCACCGCCTGTGATGTTTCTGCATCACTGCGTGTCATGACGTGAGTCTGAGGAGGGACTTACAGACTACTATTTTTTTTTTTTAACATTTTATTAGGGGCTCATACAACTGTTATCCCAATCCATACACACATCAATTGTGTAAAGCGCATTTGTACATCGTTTTTCAAAACATTTTCTCTCCATTTAAACCCCCGACATTAGGTCCTCATTTTTCCCCTCCCTCCCCGCTCCCCGCTCCCGCATGAGCCCTTGATAGTTTATAAATGGGTATTTTGTCATATCTTGCCCTGTCCGACGTCTCCCTTCACCCACTTTTCGGTTGTCTGTCCCCCAGGGAGGAGGTCACACACAGTTCCATGTAATCGGTTCCCTCTTTCCTACCCATTCTCCCTTTACCCTCCCTGTTTTGCCACTCACACCACTGGTCCTATAGGGCTCATCCATCCTGGATTCCCTGTATTTTCAGTTCCTATCTGTACCAGTGTACCTCCTCTGGTCTAGCCAGTCTTGCAAGACAGAATTCGAGTCATGGTAGTGGGAGCGGGGAGGAAACATTTAGGAACTAGAGGAAAGTTGTATTTCTCATCATTGTTACATCGCACCCTGACTGGCTCATCTCCTCCCCGAGACCCCTCTGCAAGGGGATCTCCAGTGGCCTACTAATGGGCTTTGGATCTCCACTCTGCACTACCCCCATCATTCACTATGGTAAGATTTTTTGTTCTGATGATGCCTTATACCTGATCCCTTCGACACCTCGTGGTTGCATAGGCTGGTGTGCTACTTCCATGTGGGCTTTGTTGCTTCTGAGCTTGATGGCCGCTTGATTACCTTCAAGCCTTTAAGACCCCACACGCTATACTTTTTGATAGCCGGGCACCATCAGCTTTCTTCGCCACATTTGCTTATGCACCCATTTGTCTTCAGTGATCCGTTTGACACCCCGTGATCACACAGGTTGATAACAAACTACTATTGACTTACGGACTTGGGGAGTTGGACTGGGCTGGGATGTCTTCTTGACATAAAGCTCTCTCTCATACACAGGTGAGTGTCACTGGATTTGTTTATCTACTCAAGTTGGTCTAACACAGCAAGGAAGCAGAAAGACTTGATTTTGTCCGAATCTTTAACAGACAAACCAAATAATAGAATCTCCAATTAAAATCACAGATGCTTTAGGTGAAAAAGACGGGCCTAATTCAAACATACTTTAGAGACAAAGGCAGAAACAAACAAAACCAAACACACTGCCATCTGGTCGATTCTCGTGGAGATCCTATAGGACAGAGCAGAACTACCTCTGTGGGTTGCCAAGGCTGTAAATCCTTACAGGAGTACAAAGTCTCATCTTCCTTCCATAGTGGTCTCCAACTGCTGACCTTGGGTTAGCAGCCCAGTGTGTTGCCCACTACGCCACCAGACAAAGAAGCCATTGCGGCAAGGGTGGACACCTGTATGTGGGCATAACGGTGTCCGAAGGACACCAGCCATGCTAGCTACTGAAACAAGACACGGTAACCAAGGAAACTGCCACAAAATCGTGGTCGGTAGCAGATAAATTCACCACAGTCCCCGTTGGACTTCAGGAGTGGGAAAGGGACCACAACTGGAATACACACACTACTGAGATACATAACACTATTGGGAGATATTTTAGGGCACAAAAAGAGACCTCACATCTCAAACATGATTTAATTCACTGCCATGGAATCACTTTGGACTCACAGAGATGCAACAAGGCAGCATAGAACTGCCCTGGCTCTTGAGACTAACTCAGGGAGTAGAAAACCTCATCTTTCTCCTGAGAAGCAGTTGGTAGTTTTGAACTGCTGACCTTCTGCTTAGCAGCCCCAATGTGCACACACCAGGGCTCAATTTAAAGGGAACAATTATTAAGTTTTAAACAGGGATCGACAAGGCCAAGAGCCACCATCCAGTTGAGGGAGATCATTAGTTCTAAGTCATAATGGCAGCCAAGAGTCTGTGGAGATTCTGAGCCTTAAAAAGGCAATAGGAGGGGCGGAGGAAAAATGTCACAAAGGAATGACTGGAGGCCCATCAATAAATCAGTTACAGGTGGAATCATACACCTTGATTGGAAACATGTACAATATGCTGACAGAAGACTTGTAAGATTGGTCTGACAGAGGCAGTCAGATGTGACTCATGACTTTGAGGCTCTAGCACCCCAATTTCCATTAAAGGCACAGCCAGGCAAGGGCTATGCCAATTCCCCTTAAGCCAGCTGGGGGAATGACTGTAACACACTCTTTAAGGCACTGGTGTGTAGGCAATTATTTCTGCTGCTGGATGATGATCAGAAGGAATTCAATGGAAGCTGAATCTATATAGAGACACAAAATAGAACTGGGGCTTCCACTATTAATTCTGGCCTTTTACAACCTAAGCTCAGGTGGCGTGGTGGTTTCGAGTTGGACTGCTAACTGGAAGGTCAGAAGTTTGAAGCCACCAATTGTTCCACAAGAGAAGGATGAAGCTTTCGATTCCCATTAAGAGTTAGTCCTGGAAAGTCACAAGGGCAGTTTTACCCTGTCCTATAAAGTTGCTATGAGACGGCACTGACTCATGGTAGTGAGTTTGTGTTTTTGTTTGCAAGGAGAGGTATACAAGAAAACCAAGATTCAATATATAGATTTAAAACTCAGAAGTATCGGAGGCCCAAAACCCACTTGTGAGATAACTGGACAGTCCCTCACAGAAGAGCCACACAGAAGAGATGATATATCCAGGGTGCAGTATGGCACTGATGAAATATATAACTATCCTCTAGTTCTTTAATATTTTCTCCCTTTACGATTATGGTCTTAGTTTTACCTTATTAATCACATTTGCATAATTAAGATCGTTGAGTGCATGAAAGTCAAGATAGAAAACCCTTCAGAAACAGAAATGGGAGTAATGATTTCCTGAGGGGGTGGGAAGAGAGGGAAGGAAGAGGTGATAGAAATGATGACTGCATAACCCAGTGGAAGAGAATGAGTAACACTATTGTAGGTGATGGTGTAAGATATGGCACACAAAAAAAGGGTTCCTGGGGGGTAGGATGGGGGATGGAAGGGATAAAGGGGAGCTGATATCAAAGAGTTCAAGAGAAAAAAAATGTTTAGAAACTGATAGTGGCAGCAATTTTACAGTTGTGCTTGATCTAACTGAATTATGGATTGTTATAATATCTGTAAGAGCTCCCAATAAAACAATTAAATAAGAAAACAAAATGAACAATGGAAAGTAAACAAATAAGTAAAACTCAGAAGTGTCAAAGCTACTCACCATTCTATGAGCACTCCTTTCAAGACGTTGACCATCTTTCACAGTCAGCAGGTACCGATAACCTTGAGAAGATTCCAAAGCATCCACTTCAATTCTTTGGGGAGTTGCTTCCTGAAGCCTCAGTATTCAACGTTTAAGTCTTCCGACGGCAAAGAGGGCTAACATTAATAAGACACACATTCTGACCTTCTAAATGTCATCCAATTTTTGACCCACAGCGACACTATAGCACAAGAGTAGAACTGTTCCTGCTCCAAGACTATAAATCTTTACAAGAGTAGAAAGCCTCGTCTTTCTTCCGCGGGGCAACTAGTGGTCTCAAACTGCTGACCTTTCTGTTAGCAGCCCAAGGAGTAAGCCACTCCACCACCAGGGCTCCTAACAACGTAAAACGAACCCATTGGGCGTGTTAACAAAGACATAGGTCTCCCTTGCAAGTTTACCCACTGCCAAAGAATCCTAATCTCAGCCGGGTTTGGAACGCCCGTCCCTCAAAGATGCCCTGTCCCACCCAGAGGTGTGAGCAAAAAGATAGCGCCTAGGGCGGCGGTTCGGCAAGCGGTTGGACTTGACAACCATAGCCCGACCACCTCACCGGTAGAGATGAAGACGTAGCCTTCGGGCAAACAGACAAAGGTGCAGTGTGGGCTCCAAACCAGCATTCTGGTACCTAGTCATACCCCCCCCGGCCCCGCCCTCCGGGGTTTGTGCTCGTAGGAAACAATCCTGCCCACATCACCTGCGCGCGTCTACACCTGCGCGCGGACGAGGCCTCCCCCACCCTGTGGAAATCCACGGTGGACGCGAGCGGTGCCGGCAGCCAGCGCCCCAGGAGGGTTCGGACTCGGTCACCACGGAGCACCGGAGGCCGCAGGGTCTTTCCAGCCCTTCCCCTCCTTTTCCAGAGCCCTCCCTCTGCCGCGCACCCCACTTTCCCTCCCTAAGGCCGCTACCTACCTCCGCCCACACGCCCAGCTCAACCTTCGGTGGCCTGCCGAGCGCGCCTGCGCAGACACGGCGTGCGTCACCACGTTCTTGTGGGCGGAGCGCGACGGCGGGGGTGGGGCTAGGGCCAGGGGGCGCGCCGTCGGGAGGGTCACGTGCCCAGCGCGGGTGGCGG